GGTGGAGCTTCACTTATATTGACCCTTAAATTTCTCCATGAATGGGCGGAAGAAGAGTAACGAACAATTCAAGAAGAAACGACGAGGATCCTTGCAGTTTTCTGGTTGCACAACTGTTCGATACACGACGCATGTTCGCGTATCATACGCATGTTTTATCTTGTGCAACCGGCTTTTCCTCTTTTCCTCGCAGTTCGGCATTTCAAAAAACAAGCCTCATTGCGAAAGGGAGAACCGTTATTACCCGCAACCTTCGACACGCATAAATGAATAATGATTTACGAATTAGATTTATGTACTTTCTGAAACGTTAGACTTGGAGTTAGATTCCAATTTTTTTCCAATTTAATTTTTTTAAGCATTGAAGTCCAAGCAAAATAAAATTAAAACAAATTGTTATGCAGGGTGTACCTTAAAAACTATTAATTATATAATACATTAATACTAATTATAAGCGTACTAATTATAGGTACCTATATAATTAGTATAATACGTTAAACTACACCCTATATATATCTCTACTTCTTTAATCATCGGAAATTGAGCGAAAAATAAAATTGCCTCTTTTCCAATATAAAATAAAATGAAACAAAATTTGATTTATTATATTTCGTGAATATTTTCAATTTGTCAGCCTGACGGCCGAACGTGTCGCCAGTTTGGCCTAGTTTGGCCTTTGTTCCACGAACTAATGTAGGTCGCACGTAATGATAAACCGGACGAGCGACTAAATTTCGCAGAGCTGCATGACTGCAACGGAATGCAACCACGAGCATAATTCGCGGGCAATAATGTCCGTCATCAGGACCGACTGCACCCAAATTATCGCACTGCCAAGTGCGTTGTCTCTCGTCTGTCATCGCTATCGAATCACCAATTCAAATTCGAAACAAACCTTGATGACATGACCACGTCGCGACGCTTTATCGTCGCTCTTTTTCTTCCGTTTATTATCAGTTCCGTATCACCCGTGCATTGAACTCAGATCTTATCACGCTCTTGGCGCCACAGTAACATAATACGGTCCTGTGTTAGAGCTTCTGTCATACGAAGCATCGATTTCTAATCAGTCTATAAAATTCTCGAAGATTTCATAAAAAAATTATCTTTACTTCCTTTAAATGATTTATAAGTACATATGATTATATACTATGGGCTGTAAAAATAGATCCGGTTAATTTTGCCTAATTGGAGTAATTGGGATAATATTGTATTGTGATAATGCGCGTTCTTTTAAATTAAATTAATTAACTATCCCTTATAACGAGCAATTAGAGATACTCGAAAATATTATAATTTTAGTTTTGTGTGTTCAATTTAATAAATAGATAACCATAATCACTGTAATTTTACTTTAATTTGACAGTACTATAAATTAAATATTTTATTATCGCCATTCAGTTGTCCTGTTACACAATTAACTCAATTCATAATTAATTCAATCGGGCCTATATTTCGCATTTCCTCGGAAAAAAATATTTCAAAATAAAAACATCTTCAATGACAATGAAATTCAAAAAACGAGTACTAATCCGTCACGGCTGACCTATTTTTCCTGTTGCCCCGTGCTAGGCACGTTCAAGGATTAATAACGAAGCAAGACTTATTCCGGTTATTTCCTAATCCCTAATTCGTCTACTAGTTCGGACAGGCTCTTCATCGCAGTCACGCACAAAACGAGTCGACGGTCTGTGCGACGGTGGTCCGGTCTGCCGGTATAAGAAAGAAAGGAAGCCGCGCCTATTATTATAAGTAAAAAGGAATAAAACAGACCAGAGCCATCGGATGCACGTCGTGGAGAAAAGTGGCTATGCGAGGAGCATTCTTGCGAAGAGCAGAGCATGTTACCAGAAAACAGCGAATGTCGAACTTCTCGCTATCGAGTGACCATGACGGCCGGAGCAGCTTCAGCATTCGACCATCTGCTTTCTTGGACCCTCTCTCCTATACCTGAAACAACGCGTTCACCTGGCCGGTCTCTCCCCCCCTCCCCCCCTCCCTCCGGGGCACTTCATCGCCGCCACCACCCAACCGATCGGTCTCGTTCATCTTATTTTCGGGCCATTCAGCCGTCGCCACCGGTTCTCCGATGAGCCACACACTCCTTCGCGGTGCCTCACGTGGAGAAGTCTCAATGGAATTCTCCGCGGCGAATGCCAGGTTTTTTGCCGGACTATTTCCCTTCTGAACGACAACTGTGAGGAATCTTTGCTTCCCCTCGCCCGCTGCGAACCCTTAAGTACGTCCTTTCGATTTTTAATGGCGTATTACGTAATCGCCGCACAGTAGGACCGGAAAAGAGGCATCGGCAAAACGCCGCGCCGCCCCCCCGACGTGAATATTACATATTTAAGAAAGACGCTTATTTAGCTCCTAAATTATATATCATCACGTTCCTGATTCCGGATCTTTTTGATGAGATTTATTTACAAGAAAATATACAGCAAATAAAAAAATGTTTTAACAATAACAATTGTTTTTCTACGCGATCTGTCAATCGTTACTTATTGTTAGTTCAAGATTAACGACATTAATTGTTCCAAAACAAAAGAGGAATTTTTCAAAAATCTGCTTAAAAAGAGAAGGTAACTGTTGATTTGCTCCTCTATTATTTTATATAAATTTTTCTATGTAATTTTTTATCTGTTTCTCAGTTAGTTTAGTGGAATTAGCGTAATCAATACTGTTCTGCGACTTGACGATCAATTCGAGTGACGCGACCGACTCGCCCCGACGCGGCTGCGATGTTTTCCGGTGCGTAGGTACACCAGGAAGCGTAATTAAGCTTTTTTTTTAATTCGTAATTGCTTCTTCCGCGGCAGCGATCACGACGTACTCGCCGATTAGCCGTACAATGGTAGCTATTGTTGCTTGTAACCATTCATACTGAAGATGTTAAGGCACCTTTTTATTCCACGTTCGCTTTAAATCTGCATCGATACGTATCTGAACACTTACAGGATGCGATTTTTCATTTCGGCTCCGAAGTACCAAAAAATTCTAGACATAAATTTCGATCCCAATTGCATTATCGTGTGATCGATAAAATAACATTTATATATCGTAAAACAAACCGGTCCTAACATTCCTATATTTCATTATTATTAAAAGAATATTTTTTAAACATATTAATTAAAAACGAAATAAAACTCCAATATAGATAAACGTACGATTGAAAGTACGATAACGTGTAAGATATTAATTGGAAAAGCAAACGTTCGGACTCATATCCTTCTATGGACGTATTATGGAATCATTTAAAATGGACTTCGATCGAAGTTGTTTAATTATTCGCTGGGTTTCTGTTGCGCTTTTATCTTTTTAAAGAAAAATGAATATAACTTCAATCAGAATTCATTTCGAACAGTTCTATAACGCGTGCCCTGCTTTTTCGAAAAAAAATACTCGTTTCGTCGTATAAATTACGTCACTCCTTTGAAGTGAATCTCAACCTGAAAAGAGTAAAAATCAATCACTCTTGAGCAAGATTTGCACTCTTTTTTCAAGACTGGATCAATTTTCAGTCTCTTCGAGTGAGATTCGAGAATAGGATTGGCATAATACTCGTAGTTATGTAAAGATCTATCCATCTTACACGGTTATCACAACCAAATTGATGGGCGAAAATTATCATTATTCCGATTGTGGCGAAACCGTAAAATTTGCTCTGTGCGGTCTTTAAATAAAGCAGATCTCGGGTAGAATCGACAGCGCACGCCAGCGCAATCTCGATTTTTGCCGGCGAGTAATGAGGCGCGAGCAAGAGGAAAGATCGGTATTGACGTTCCCTCGCTATGTTGGAGTAATGATGACCTGTTACCGCGATCTACTCCACGCTATCATCATAACGCAACGCGCGCCTTTAACGCGGTGTTCGTTACAGAAGCGATGCCTTTGAGGCGCGATAATAAATGGTGAGTTTCGCAACGGGGAATGCTCTTAACGCGCTACACGTTTTAAAGAGAGGTACGGTGAAGTTACACGAACAACAAGCGAGAATTTCGCACGATTTATGACGGCAGCGTATATACGTTTCCGTCGTAAATGATTTTGTATAATTCTTACGCGCGTTTTCCGTTTTATTTTACGCGCGCGTTCTCACGGTTGTAGTTTTACCCATAGGCGAGTACGATAAAAATATATAAATGCAATAACCATCGCGGCGCACTATTTCCATCCTCATTTATTTCTCTCGTTTAACGTCCACGCGAATTAATTCGTGTTAAATTAATGGACGTTAAATATACGAATTAATCCTAATTGATATTGAATTAATCGACGTTAATTAATTGACGTTACAGGAATCACGCAGCCTTTATTTATCTGACTTTTAAATCTTAGCGAGTAATAAAAATACGAGTCGGTCTTATGTTAGATTTTGATGTCACGAGAATAGCATCTGTTATAAAGCATAATGCCTGTGTCGCACCATCGAAAACTGTGGACTGCGAGCTGAGGATTAGAATTCAGCCAATTAAAACAAAACAAACTAAAATTGAAGTTAAATCTGATTGGTCGAATTCTAATCTTTAATTCGCGATTCTGTCTCCAATAATAGTGCGACACGGTCATAAAACGGCGCGAAAATAAAACGTTCAATTTTCCTCGCACACAATAAATACACGAGGTGGATAACGAGTAGATAACAAATTCTTATCAGAAACTCCGATAAATTTCGTTTCAAATGCCAAAGTCTCTGTTTAGAGAAGTGCGTTATCATAAAATAACAATTCCAACGATCACAAATAAAAAACGCTCTCATTTTTTCTTTTTAAAACAATTCAGCCAAGTGTGACGTAAAAGAAAGATCAGAAGTTTCGGAAAAACTTTCAACAATTTTACGACAAAACTCGGGTGGCAAGCTGACGTTATTTCTAGTCTCTTTAGTATAATATAATTTTAACAACGACCTTGCTATTATATCGCACGTCCATTGAGCGTCGATCGGACGACGCGGATCAAGGAGGCGTCGACAGAGCGGAATCGAGAAAGAAACTCACCTTGCACGGCGAGAAGAAGCACCAGGAGGCCGAGTATTCGTGGCGGCAGCATTTTTTTTTTTTTCCTCGTCGCGAGTCGTCTCCGTTCCTCTCTTCTTCGTTTTAAATCACTTGACAAAATCAACGGCACACCAAATGCGCACCACTCTCCCCCTCGAATCGAATGCCGCGGAGGTGAGAGAGAAATCCTCGCCGACGGATCCAGTGATCGCGCGATCGACACGATAATTCGCGCGCGCGCGGGGGAAGAATTTCGCGAGAGAGAGAGAGAGAGAGAGAGAGAGACGCGCGCCCGACTCGAAATCGCGGCGAAGCTCGAAGCGCACCCGCGGCGGTGTGTGTGTCTGTCACGCTGTGCGTACCCCGGCCTCTCGCTCTCTTGTGCACGGTGTAATCGAGCTGAACTGGACACCGAATACAAACTGAAGCTCCGAACACGAGCGAAGCGAACACGCGCGGTGCGCGGTATCCGAAGAGCGACGGCGGAATCGCGCGCCCCCCGGCTTTTTACGGGGACTGCGCGTTCAGGCTGCGCAGTCGTCGCACCTCTGTACGTGTGGTGTGTGTATGTGAGACGCACTTGCTTTTACCGCGGCGCGCGTGTGTGCGGGCGCGCACACACATTTCCGTTAAGGTCCACCTCGCACGTGAAGGTTCATTTAACTCTCTTTTTTTTCACTTCGTATGGATACTTACATCGAATTTTAAATAATAAACACTTTTATATTGACACGCCGCGATGCGACAGATAATTGAATTGGTTTGTTAATTTTGGGAACAATAGCTTGATGATGATTCAAAGACAGTGAATCATAACCGCCCGATTATTTGTGATGTAGGTACATATATAACTTTTATATGGACTCTGAAAAACGATTTATATTGAGAATGACTCAAATTTAGGGTCAAAACGTTTGTAACTATCAATATATATTATATTATACACGATCGACTGTGTTGGCATTATTAGTCTCATTGGCATTATTATTCTTTTATTCAATTTAATCTTTGAAGCGCTTTTTTTAAATATTAATCATTTTATATTTTTGTGTGGATCATTATAGACGGTATTCATAATTTATTGTTACTTTAAGATAATCTGAAGCGGCGTCTAATGAAATTTTAAGGCGTTATTAAAACTTAAGCCATAAGAAATCGACAATTCACAGTCTATTGTTTTCCACTTTCGACTATGACTGATCAATTTCTTACAACTTATCTAGACAGCACAGAATATTTATGATAAATATCGATTACTATATTAATTTTTGAAATGTTAAATTTTAAAAATATAATATTTTAAAATTAATTTTTAAAATATAAATATTTTATGCATATATTCTATATCAATTAACTCGAAATATTGTTAAAATGTAGATGTTTTATAAATAAATATTTTTAATAAGTATTTTTTTACTTGCATTATGTCTCATTAAATATTTTCATAGCATTTATATCTACTATAAAATTTACAATAAATGTGTTTCATAATACTTGTAATAAATGTTCATGATCTATACAGTCTAGGACCATAAAAATATTTATGAAATATTAAAAGAATAAATCTGATAAATACTTACAAATATTTTGTAAGCACTTTGTAAATATTGTGTGCTGTCTGGGTAAGGCTTAACATTTTACACCTTAAAATTTTATTGTAGACGTCACTTTAATTAACGTCTTAAAATGTTAATGCAGCCTTCTGATTGACTTATGACATTTTAAGAGTGTACTTAGACATTTTCAAATATAAGAATCTTGAATACCAGTCTATATGACATCTTAAAAACGCTACCCTTCAAACAACAATAAATACAAATATAAGAAAAATGCCTTTATGAGCCTATGGAATGTACATACAACAAAGTTAACTGCAAGAACATCGTATATTCCAATGAAAGTATATTCCAATTTGCGAATTATATATCTTATCGCCTTATAAATATTATATTTATATCAGTTATTTACACACCAACAATCACGGAGGCTTATATCAAACATTTTACTTGTATTTGATTTCCGGAATTATCAAACTATTTTTATTATAACAGAGAACAATTTTACTCGTCCGACTTTATCTCGTTTTCACTTTTACATTTTTTTGCGGGAGTCACGTTGAATCACTGTGAAAGGTTAATACGAACCTTAAGTTTCTCCTGAAGATGAGACACGTGCAAAAAACACTGTCGATCTATGTTACATAAAGTGTAACGTACAAGTTTAATTTCCAAGATATTAACTCGGAGAGATGGAGAAAACATTCATAAAATCCCATAACCACCGTAATCTCTTATCTTTTCGTAGACACGCGACACGCATAATCTTAGATACGCGATAAAGCCAAATAGATCCTTCACAAGATCTAGAATCCGGATTGCAATTACGTCTTTATCGACTTCTTATCGATGTCACGTACTCCACTTGTTTCCGCATGTTTGCCTATACATAAAAATCCACGGACGTTTAAATACACTTTTTCCAATTTTCTCGATATCGATCGAGGCGTGTTCTCTGCCGTATCTCTTTCACTTTGTATACGTCTTATATTTTAAATACCTATCTCTTTCTTTGCACACTGCTCTTGGATAAAATTGCGTTTCATAATCCAAGACGTTTAGCAATTCTAAATCATTCTGGTGATAAAAAAAACTTGAGATGCATAAGTGTATTCAAATCTATTCACGTAGTCTAGCCTGTCTAGCTTTTCTAGACTTCAAAACGGATTGTTTCAGATTTCTTTCAGACTATAACGTTAACGTGCGCCTTGATTCGAGGTAAGTTCCCCCCCCCCCCATCTTCCCCGTTACGGTCTCACCAATTCCAAAGTTGGCTGCGAAAACATGAATGTAAGTAGGTGTAAAGTTTCTCGCGGGCGCACGCTGCGACGCATATAGATATGCAAGCGACCGGCATGCCAACAATCGCTTACGTGCGCACACACATGGGGATCCGATTTGCGCGTGATGGATGTACCGCCTCTCGATCTCCCCGTCCCAACCATCCGCTCATCGTGTTTTACACGATGACGACGTTAAACGCTCGATTATTCCCGCTTTCTAAGTAAAGTGACCGATGTCACTTCAACGTTACTCGAAGGACGCGTCCTTTCCCTCTCGAAGGTTCCACCTGACATTCCTCTCCTACGTTGCGATCCTATTAGTCGTACAAGGAGGAAACGTGAATCATTGCGGGGATTTCAACACAGAAGGAGTGATTAGCCTGAAGATCGGTTAACAAGCAGATCGTAATGCTGTAATTACTGTGAAATCCAGAACTTGTTAATTAATTAGACGAGGAGGATTTGCAATTATACAAATAACCGCATGTTTTCTAAATTATAATGATCTTCCTTCTAAATTTTCTTATTCTCCTCGGTAATTATAACAATCTTCTTTTAAAAAGTAATTTAAAAAGAAAGAGGATTGCTTTCTCTCTCAAAGACACAAACATTATTTCACTAAAAATTTAATAGTTATTACCAAACTCTGTTTTTGGTATATCTAATATTCATAGATATTTTCCTAAACTTTTCTAAATTATCGCAAATTAAAATCGCGTAAAAATAATTCTTTTTTTCATTTTGTATAAATACTTAATTATAGACCTTGTTTACATCGTGAATTTAATACGTGTATTAATAACCGTAGTAACTTTCTATTAAATTATCTTAATTTCAGCGATGTAAGTAAACGTATACATGATACGGCTATTTAATTAATCATCTGGATGAATATTGTACCAGATTAGTACACCATTCTTCAAATGTATTTCCGAAATTAAGATAATTTGATAAAAAGTTATTACGCGTATCAAGTGCTCGGTGTATATAAAACTAGAGGACATAGTTAATTCATTCATGATTTCTATTTACATTATGAATAGAGTAAATGAATGAATATCGTGACAAAACGAGATATGTCATTGTTATAAATGTCTCGTGCTGGATATAAATATATGTGTGCACGATCAATTATATTAAATATACACGAGTCGTCGTGACGGTGAAAAACTTTCTCTTTTTGGCCAGGGCTACATTAACACGTTGTCACTGAACTGCACAAGCATGACTTATCAACGGCGTGACTAATCCGCCACAAAAAAAAAATAGTGATGTCATGCAACGAAAAGGTGCACATTCGGTCATGGCGGTCAATCGACTAAACTCATTTTGTGCATATGGAATTACTGATATGGAATTGTCTCTTTGTTATTTTCACAACCAATGCCAAATGTCAGTCTTTATGTGTTCTTTTTTTTCTCGCGAAAGTCGCGCTTAGGACTTTACTTCTCTAGAAGTCACGAAGAATCGCTTTCCTCTTACGAACTGCCTTTCACCGAAAATAAATATGCTGTTAGAGGAAAAGTATAGACATATACTTGACCGCAAATGCGCTAACAAGACGCGATTCACTCGACCGCAAACGAGCAATTGTAATTAACGTAATCCTTACGCGAAGAGACACCATGTATCACGCGGATAAAATTAACGCTTAACACGATAACCTTCAATTTGCTTCCTGCATGATCTCAACGTGCAGCGTATTTAAAAAAGAAAATCAGTCTATTAATGGTTCTGTTTTTTGCGGTTGAATTATAGTGTACAATTTTGGAAATTAAAATGAGATAGGTATATATCTGATATATTATATTTGTCGAAAAAGAAGGAGAGTTCTAATGCAGTCTATATAGGAGTGTATACAGAACAGAAAGTAAATATTTAAGAAAATGTAGAAAGGTCAATTGAAAACATAAAATTAGATCACAATTTAAAACTAGTTCATTAAATGTTTGTTGTTGTTAATTGTTGATTAAAAAATATATGACTTGTGAAAAATGTTCACTTTTCCAACAATATATTTTTAATTTGATTTTATTTTGTATTTATTTTTGTGTCCAACTTGTTTTGTGGTAACATATGTTGTAATTTTTTCAGTTGTTCTAATTTAACTATTAATTTCATTGTTATTTTTATTGGAACTGATGACTAACAATAAATAAAGTCAAAATGTTCTTCTCTCAATTGTCGGGAAGAAACTATAGTAATAGTGTTGTGAACTTCTAATAAACTAGTTTTAAATTGTGATCTGATTTTATGCTCTTACTTAATTGACCTTTTTTCATTTTATTACTGCTGAGCAAACTAGATCTAAAAATTTAAAATTTATTTATAATTTATGTCAACTTAAATTACTTCTTAAATGTATACAGTCAAAATTGCAATCGTCGAAGTGAAACTCAAGATTCAAGTATAAGAAATATAAGTAAAGTCAAGAAACACAATATGGAGAAGTTCATCGGCATTTCTCCTGCATTTTTCTCTTGTATTTCTGAGATTTTTATGGAAACACGTGAAATTTTAAAAAAGGGACAATCGTGTTTAGCCGAGTATTAATTAAGCTTTTGTTGAAAAATATTTGAGATTCGTGTCCGCCAGGTGAACGCGGTGCCATGCATTTCCGCTTCGTGCTTATGATAACAAACGAAGAGCCCTCGTAAGCAGTTATCGTTACTCGCACGAATAACAACGCAAACTGCGAGTGTCAGTGAATTTGCAAATATAGGAAGCATAAAAATTCATCGAAAGAGGCAAGCGTTTGTATCCAATTAATATTTATCGAATCGTGTGATGCAACTGAGTAAACCTGTCGTAATTATTATGTAAGGGTATAAAAGATGGTATCGATCATGTAATACAAATATATATATTACGATGTAATCTGTATCGAGACAAATTGATAAAAAAATTCTTTGAACCGCGTACTTGTTAGATTTGTCTCCTTCTTAAGCCTATTCTACAATGTGCTCTTTGTTTCCTGTTTCTTGCTTAATACCTCTTGCTTGCTTCCCTCTTTATCGTTTTATTGATAATTATATATTTCTTGCCACGCATTTCTTGTTTCTTCCGAAGTTCGTTTGCTTTTATCTCGGGCGATAGAAAATGAAAAACGAAATAAGAGGTAAAAAGACAAAATGCAAAAAATAGCAAAAAGCAAGAAACGGGAAGTAAAATGCACATTATAGAACAGGCTTTAGCGACAGCTAAAGGATGATATATGGCTGAGAATCAAGATAAACTGATTGGATTCTTTTCAGAGATAAAATGAACATGTTCATGTATAGGTGTGAGCTGTATATGTATATATGTATGTATGTGTGCGTGTTATTGAGCTGGGGTTCGTGGGTTTGCTAAGCCCAAATGACTGCGCGGATCAGTCATCCCTGCGAAAAAAACTGTTTCTATTAAAAAAAAAAAGTAACGGTGGACACCAGCCAATCCTCAATTCGTAGTATTAGTTCCTCAGACAACACAGAATACTTATGACAAATTTTTATTATTTTTCATTTTTCGAAATATTGTATAAATATTTCATGTAAAGCTTTATAGATTAAATATTTTTGTAATATTTATGATAAATATAAATAAATATTTCTAATAATTTTTTACTTGGATTATAATATTTTATTATAGTGTTTTCATAGCATTTACTACAACAATTATAATAAATATTTTATATTATTTATAATAAATGTTTATAATAATGTCTGAGATAATCTATTTATTCGTCAATAGTCAGAAGTTTGTTTTTTCTAGTTGAACTAATACATACTTTGCAAATATAAAGTGGAATTAGGTATATGTTTGTTAATTAGCTAAAGTGAGAAAAAAGTTTCAGTGCTGCATTCTAAGGCTAATAATATATTCATCCGTTTTTTTATGATACGACAAAACTTTTCAAGATGCCCATTGATGCTTGCAGGACAAAGAGATTCTTGCTGCTAATTACACGCTCGAAAAATTTACGATAAATATAATATCGGCTTAGAAACACTCTAAGTATACAATTAATTTTACAGAAGTATAATTTTTTTTATAAAAAATAAAAGAAAAGCCCCAGGTATTACACACGTCTATTGGGCGGTACAAAACTAATTATTTGAAGTTAAAAGATATGTCGCGCCATTTTAACCAAGATTATTTCCAACTAAAAAAAAACACTAAGTAAAACCTCGTCGGTAAAACACATTTCTGTCAAAGTCATTTATCGACGCAGTTCTCATGACCGATCGAAACTCATGGCAAATGAGAGTTTGAAAGACGTTCGTCGTTCGAGGCGGCGCTGCCTCGAAAAAAAGAATTCTCCTTGATCTGTGATTGGGTGGTTTGGGTCCCCACCCGAACTCGCCAGCGTGCCCCACCCCCCACCGCGCGACATGTCAATTGGCGAGAACATGGCGGGACGGGACAAAGGACGCGTTCGTACGGATCGTACGAGGGACGCCATGTTCATTTGTCTTGTATCGAGGACCTTCGCCGGTCTCAAAGTGGAGGATTCCTCATCTCATCTCGTCTGATCCGGCCGGTCGTCTTGCCTCGTCATGGAGAGCGACGCCGCTTCCGAGTCACGGAAGCGGAAACGCGAGGAGTACGAGATGCAGCTGTTCTCCTTCCATTCTCGTAACGTTTACGCGACTAGTAAGCCGCCGACTGCATTTTAAATTTCGATATGTGCAACCGCTTTTGCAGATCGCACTTTCCAACGAACGCTGCACGGACAGGGGGTTCCGGCGGGGGCACTGGGGGCACACCGACCGTTAAGGCGAGCCTCCCGCGTCAAAATCTCGTCGCCGCTGGACGGGTGTACTCTGGTTTCATGTGGCATTCGATCATGACTAGAGTCACACTCGTCCAGCGACCGGGACGCTTTCGACGGAATTTTTCGCGTGGGGGGACGTTCTTGCTTTCGTATTCGATGTCTATCGGCGAGGACGCTATGCTGGTGAGAAGCGTCGCCTCCCGACGAACGCGTCCTTTATCTCGCCGATCCTTCCTAGAATCTCTTAAGTTTCCGTAACATGCTTGTACGATTCCTTTTGATTTTTGTTTTTCATTTTTTTCTGCTTTTGTGAGTCATCGGATCGTTACACAACTGTAATTGCTGTATAAATCCTTACACTCAGAAAATTTACTGAAAGAAAAGAAGCAAGATATGTCAACTACACAAACCTTCATTTTACCTTGGAAAAAAAAGATTGAAACACAATGGAATAATTCAAGGGCACAGTAAATTTATTTGATTATTTTATTTTATTGACTCGCACCATCATTAGATAGGACATGAAGAATATTGAAAAAAATAGATTGTTTATAGAATTTCAATAATTTTACAATTATAATATATTTACTGTAACATTAAGAATGACCTGATCGGCGTTAAAACGTTTGTAATCATTTTTATTTATATGTTTTAAATTAAACAATTATTTATTATATAGCTGGCTCTTAACCCTTGAATTATTCTATTGTGTTTTATACTTACAAAAAGATTAAAATTTTTCTTAATTTTATGGCTTTGATATAATTCTGACTTTAGATTATTCTTTGTTCACTTATAATACTTCTGTGAGCATTCTTGTACAGCCATTAGTTTAACTATATATTTCTAATTTATGAAAAATTATGCATAGCTGCTCATGCTAATCTTGTTACTTTCTCTTTGGTCTGTTACAGTTGAGAATATTGTGATGGAAAGGATACAGTCTAGAAGCAGAAAGTTGTGTGAAACATTGGAAAAAAGATACAACTCAGATTCTGATAATTCGGCCATACTAAAAGCAAATGAGGAGAAACTTGTAAAAGCGTACCGTACAGCTTCTGTACCTCATTTGCAAAATATAGAGGTAATTATTTTTAAACTAGATAATCCAATTTATAATTAATTATATATTATGCCTATTTTCTATCTAACAATAAGATATATCTGTTGAAAGCTTTGAAATGAAAATTGTATATATGACATTAATTCTTATTTTATTCTGATCAGAATATCGTGAGAAAATTGGTTAGTGTACCCGACAATGTTCTGGCGAATGAAGATCAACTTCAAGAAACACAATACACAGAAGCGGAGTTTGAGAGTATACGTGGAAAATTGGAAGAATTCCAGCAGAGAGCGAGACGAGTATGTATCATGGTTTTAATCATTAAAAAAATATCGTTGCTATTTTTGCTATATGTAAATGCCGCGGCATTTAAGCATTACATAACTTTCACGGTTTCTTTCAGGCGACTGTGTTGAACGCGTCATTGAAGGAGGAATTACAGCTCATAGAACAATTTTTGATTTGCGCGGATGATATCGATAGGCTGAGTCATGTAATTGAAAGCGACATTCCGTGCCCGGACCTCAGTGACAAAATTCATGAATTAGTCGATTATTATAAACAATTCAGCACGTCTCTCAGTAACGGGACACATATATCGCAAAAGTCGCTCTACAATATGGACGAAGATATCAAATATACAGACGATATGGATAAAGATATGGATACTGTATAATTTTATAGTAAAGAAGAAATTCTTTCTATATTATTACCTTCTTGAGATTATTAATTTGTAAATATGTAAATAATTGCACTTTGCAGATATTTCTTATACGTGCGTTATATAAATTGTGTATTTAAAAAATTTATTAAATATATTTGTAACGTTAAATGCTAATAGCTTTAATCTTTTTCAATTTTTTCCTCTATCTCTATCAAGTAGTTTATATTCCATGAAATGATTACTCACACACATTAGTATGCATGTGGTCAAAGATAAGTATGTTGTAAGAAAATATATGCATCATAAATATATAATTTCTTATTATATTTAAAAGTAATTGTCTTTGTTACGAAGAATGCTTCGCAATACAAAATTTTCTACATTTTATAAATTTATAAAAAATTTCTTCCGTCGGAGTAATAAATTTATTACGAACCAAAAGAACCAGGAGTAAATGTCGGTAGCTACCAGAAGAATAGTAACTGATGGTAAGTGATAAACTTAAATTTTTAATCAGTTATCGACTGAAGTTTATCACTTATCATCAGTTACTATTCTTCTGGTAGCTACTGACATCTGCTTCTGGTTCTCTTATAAAAAAGAAATGAAAATTATAAACGATTTTTTAATTAATATATTTAACATATTATGTTAAATTAAATTATAAACACAGTTTTTCTTTTGATAATAATTATCTTATAAAATTAATAATTTTTCATTTTTGTTTTTAATTATTAACTTGACTGTTTATATCACGTAAACTTCCGTAAGAAATTTGATTTAATGTAAAGTTATTGTAGGAAAAGACCTCAAATACATCTCGTAAATTTGTTAAGATAATACAAATATGTATTTCTACTTACAATAATTGTTTTAATAAAAAAGTGTATTTTTATTAATTACAGCACTTTTAAACACGAAGAGTGCATGATAAATAAAAGTTAAACGCGCGGTTTAATATTCCAACAATAAAGTGGGGTATAAATCCGGTAGAGTTTTGTTTTATTTCTCGTTCAGGAACTCTTCTAACAATAAGAATCCTCCCTTCTTGCTTTGTTTCTATGTAGAGCAAGAGAGAATTATTGTATAAAATTCTAGTATTATATATATATATCTATATATATATCTTTCTAATCGTCATCCATCATTTCGATAGCTTTCTTCATGCGTAAAAACATAATCGATGTTACCGATATTCGTTCTACTCCTTCAATTTTTGTGTGTGCGATAAACTTACCTATCGTATTCTTCATACAGTCTAATCTTGAATATTCTGATGCAATACATTGCAGGTTGCGTTCAGTAGAAAAAGCAGCTTTACTATTGTAAAATTCTTCAATATGATTGATTTATACATTTAGATCCAGTGAGAAACTAAGACCAATTATATTAAAGAATTTTATAACAATTGTAAGAACGCAATTAATTTGATTGATTGCAAAAATGAAAAGTTTAAATGATACTAATATTAAAAAAAAGATTTAACTCATATAACGTAATTAACAATTCAAGCTTTTCTTATAAAAACGTGGTTCTTACCGAGTTGTAAAATGCAAGTACTTAGAGCTTTTTTTGAAACTTCTTCAAGGAAAATTTTCAAACAGTTTTCCTTATCAAGATAGCAGAGAATATATATATGATAAAATATTTAGTACTATTTGTATTTGTTGAAATACATATTTTTTATATAAAAGCTTTATTTGAAATATTAAAAAATATAGATTAAATTTTACGTATATATAAAATATTTGGTCTACAGTTCAATAATATTTCCAATAAAGCTTCATATAAAATCTATATAAAATATTTCTATGTATTTGTCATAAATATAAATAAATATTTTTACTATAAGTATTTTTAATTTAAATTATAAAGTCCTGATATATAAGTATTTTAATAGCATTCCCTATAACATTTACAATAAATATTTATGATCCGTGCAATCTAAGACCACAAAGGTATTTATGAAATATTTAAAATAAGTCTTATAAATATTGTGTGCTGTCTAAGGAGAGGGGGGAGGGTAGAAGGAAGATATGGAATCCTAAAAGAACTATTAAAAGGGAGAATATAACGAGATCTCGAGGACTCTAAATAAAACAGCGAGCCTTTACCGAGAAAAACATTTGGCGTATCGCACTTATTTTCCTGGAATCGGGCATACTTATTGCATCGCACTTTTCTTGGAATCGGGCCCCAAATTCACCTCACCCCACTTCTTCCACGCGCCTCCGTTGACGGTTGAACTCCGATCCTTCTGGTGATCAGTTCGCTACATGTAGCTCGCGTGATTGTATGTCGATGACAATGAGTGACAACGATACGGATCTCACTGACGAGTGCCAGCGTACCATACGACTCCTGGAGATGCAGCGTCGCACGCACTACGACCTCGTCCAGGTACAGACATCATCGGTTATCTTACCTATTTTTCGGTACTAACACGACGGACAGAAAACGAGTTTAGCGTCCGCAACGTTAAGAAAAATTAAAATAATGACTCGAGAACATCGGCGGGAGTGATTATAAGGAGTGCGTTTCCTTATAATTTACGTTTTATATCGTTTACTTATGTTTTAATATCTATAAAATTAAGACACACACTCATCAGACGGAGAATAATCTCTCCATCGCAAATAGAGAGAAGTTGGAAAATATTGAAATAATAATTTCTCGGAAAACAAGCTGACGTTATTTATCATCGTTTCTACGTCAGAATTACTTTAGGTTGAAAATGTCTTTTCCAGTGTAATTTATAAAAATTTAACTTGTAACTTTCTTGTCTTATACTTTTCAGTTGCTTTCGACCTTAGTCATCAGACATGACCTTACATTTTAATTATTGTGAAAAGAAGTCGAGAAATATTGAAATAATGATTTGAAAACGTCGGCGAGAGCGACTTGTGGGAGCGTAATATTGTATGGATCTTTTTGCAACACTTGTCTTACTAATCTGCTTATGAAATAATGAATTTCACTTACAATTAGATTACACCTTTTGCTAGTAAAAAAAACAAATCGGAAGAATTAACGAGTGCATTTATTAAACAATTCGATTCTCTCTTAACTCACTTATCACAACAAAGTTATCACCTTTCTGTTTTAATTTCTAATTACCCTAATCGAGTTGAATAATCAACTCCAGCCACGCACTGATTTTTTTGTATCCTTGATATACACACTCGGATCTCTGAAACTCCTATCATATTACCGTACTATCGTAAAAATGGATACATTTCAATTAATTTTTTTTTTAATCAATGGAAAATCGATTAAAGAACAAGTCCACGATGTGCAAAAGTCGATAGAATTAAGGAGCTTCGAAATATGTAGGTTCAAAGAAAAGAAAAAGTTCGATTTAGCAACCTGCACTGGGGTTTCTAAGATTGTATATAGCTGGAGTTAATACATTTATAGACATCTAAACCTCCTTCTTCCTGTCATTCCAACTGCACAAAAATTATTTTACACACAGGAAAACGGCCAGCGACGGTTGACGGCACCAGAAATAGTGCAAGGCGACCGGCAACGAGGTAAGGGGGCGGAGGTGTTCCTGGGTCGTTTGCCGCGCGACTGCTACGAGGACGAGCTGATGCCGTTGCTGGAGCAGGTGGGTCGTCTCCTGGAGCTGCGACTGATGCTCGACTTTTCCGGGTCGACGCGCGGCTACGCGTTTGCGTTGTACGAGGATCCGCGGATCGCGCGGATGGCGTGCGAGCTTCTCGACGGCCACGAGATCCGGCCGGGTCATCGCATCGGCGTGGTCAAGTCCATGGACAACTGTCGGCTCTTCTTCGGCGGCGTGCCCAAGACGAAGACCAAGCCCGAGTTCGTAGAGGAGCTGACCAAGATACTGGACGGCATCACGGACATCTACGTTTACCCGAATGCTCACGATCGCAACCTAAATCGTGGTTTCATCTTCGTCGAATTCAAAGATCATCGGGCAGCCGCGATGGCCAGGCGCAAGCTTATACCCGGCAAAGTGATGTTGTGGGATCATGAGATCGCGGTGGATTGGGCGGATCCGGAACCGGGAGATCCGATCGACGAGGACATCATGGAGACGGTAAACTTATTCAGTCTCTCGAAATTGGAAGAACGTAAAACTTGATTGCAGTTTTATTAAAATCTGCTTTTATTTGCAGTGCACTAAACAAAATTTCGGCCCATCGAATGATCGTTAATCAACGTCTAACTTATAATGTCCAATTAATTAATTTTATTTATTAATACAATAACTGGATGCATTCGTATAATTACATATTTATTTTTGCTAGGAATTCTAGTAATAGTTTTATAATTTAAATCATGGAAATTTGTTGAACCACTTTTCATTAATTTAATGCAAATTTAATTGTATTTACGTACACCTTTGGTTCAGTGTGTTTTATATAACATAATTCAATGTACACAAGTCTTCTTTTATTTCATGATTTGATTAATATTCCATTAATTTGCCGAATTTTATAATACATGCGTAACGTGATATTTGAAAAAATAATCGATATAAGCAAAGAAAAATATAAAAATATATGATTACATAAAACAAAAAATATTACAAAAATATATTTTACTAGATATGTAATATTACCAAAACAGAGATTAAATAAATTGGGGAGTGTTTGTACAGATTGTGTTTTGCGTGTAATAATTGTACAAATATATCTCGAATCGTGAAGAATTAAAAATAAATGGCTTTTTCACGTTTGATGATTTATTAATAATTTTATTATACTCGGACAAAAATTTATTAAAATCGTGTGACTCTCTCTAAAGTAGATATTTTTTAAAATATAATAGAATATGAATAGTGATGTCCACATTTAAATTATTCGCTTTAATTGAAGTCGACGTTGACTGAATGGAAAATTTTTAACTAAATATCCAGAAAAAATGTTTTATACATAATTATATAAAATTGTATATAAAATTATATATATATATATTATATGAAATATGTCTATATATAGATATATTTTTTGTATATAATTATTAATTTTATACAACTGTAAAACCTTTTTTTCGGATACTCTTACAATTTATATAATAAAAAAAGAATAAATATCTCTCACGTTTAATTTCCAGGAATTGTATTTGATTAAAAAAACGAAGCAATTTCTGAAAAAATTCTGTAAAAAGAATCCGTTGGTATAAAATAAATCTACCACAACGAAATCACATCTCATATTACTGTGTATATGTATGTGTGTGTTATACATGTACACAATGACATGAAACAAGATATGTATACTAACTCAATATCATATACGATGAAAAATAGGTGACTGCTCTGTTTGTAAGGAACCTCTCCATTGATATGTCGCAGCAGAAAGTGAAAGACGTTCTCTACAAGCACACAAATGTGCCTATATTGAAGCTAAAGAAGATCAATCACTTCGCTTTCGTTCACTATGAGAATCGCGAAGCCGCAAAGATTGTAATGGACATAATGGAAAGTGAGTATACGAGTGTTGTAATTAAACCAACTAATGAAAAAAATTAATGATTAAGGAATACGAAAGAATAAATATAACAATTTCGGGAGAAACAACCAAATTTTAAAGGACTAGTAATTCGTAGAAAATCGATTGTCAAGAGATTTAATTGTAAATATAGCGTTTCGTATTTTTACCATTTATAATGACACGTGAAATTAAACTTATTACAATTATTTTCTGATTTAATTTGTTCTTGAAATTAATATACACATCGTGTTAAATTAATGTTACTAATATTTTTCAGCTAAATAGAAATCGTTGCTCTCGTCCTACAAATTTTATTTTATTTCAGGCTTATATTTTCGCGTTTAGTTATTTGTATGAATAATTTTACGTTTTAGAACCGAATAGTATCGTTGAGAAGCAGGGTTGGGAAATCCGTTGGGCGAAACCTATCGGAGCGTCCAAGATCCTGGAAAGAGCACGATACATTCGTGAGGCGATAACCAACTCGAAAGTCCAAAAAACCGAAAAGTCGAGTTCAAAAGAACGAAAGAAACGCTCCAATACGTTCACAAAAGCACACGACGATAACAGCGTGTACCTAGCACAGATGAAGTCCCTGCAAAGCTTCGTCAAGGAGCGATTCGATGCAACGTGTACTTTTGATTGCGTACAAATACCGGATACATCTGAATATATTGGCAAAGTAAATATTTTAATAACTTTACGATTTCTTATCCTTCTATTTATGCTTGATGATTTATTTTCTTTCGTATGTTTTAGATAACCGTTCGTAAGGATGAATTTATAATATTTGAATTTCAAGGGGAACCAGTAGCATCGAAACATAAAGCCATGAGCGAGGCATCTATTAAAGTGTACCAATATTTGACCGGTATGCTCCCGAATAATGGTACGTACAACATTTTGGCTTGTGTTATATTAAAAGCTTTTGATTACTTCATTCTCTATTTGCGCGCGTTGAATCAAAGGCGATTTTAACAAAATGCTCCTATGTAGATTAATTCAACTCCAACAACGAAAAACATGCGTAATATTTACAAAATTTCGATTTTCAATTGTAATCGACAAGTACCGTTTACCGCGAAATCTCGGTCGTGCTTTGTTTGCCTTGAAAAATATTTGCAATACACAATGCGTCGCGTTTTAATGATATTTTGCGCGTATTTTTGTAGCGCCGCAGTTATTCGAACAGCATTATATTCAATCAGGAATGGACATTAACCCTGTAATTGGTACGCCGATTGTTTGGCATTCAGGATTAGTTCAAAATTAGATTAGTCCCTATTGCTTTGACATTTGTTTCTGGCTTTACTTTTTAATTGTTATATACCTACCCGAAAACTACTGACGCAATTTCATAAAAGAGTCGATGATTCTACTTTATTTGTATTTTAACTCTTTTATATTCAAATTAATTTAACTCTTTTAATGACTGTCAAATGTTGCTGTTATGTGATCAATGAAGAAGATATTTTAGTTCAACGTCTGATTCTAAGTCAACAGTTCTGAGACAGCGTATCTTTGAACATCGGTGTTCAAGATATATTTAATTTTATTCGAATGTCTAAGATAGTTTGAATCTTAAATTATTAAAATTTATAAAATTGCAATGTTAATGAAATTTTAATCTATACAAATATTATCTATGATATAGATATATATATACATATATGGCCACTTAATTTAATAATAACATTTAATGAAGTTCTTGATTCTCAAAAATTGATTTTAAATAACAGTTCAATTAAACTATGACACTTTCAAAAAGTGTCTTAAAACATATTGAAAGAAAAATTATTAAAATTTATGTAAAATGGTGATGTATATTTGATGACTTATAATTTATAATAAAAATTTATGACTTTTTGTCACATTGATGGCCACACACATTTTAAAACATTTATTTTAAAATTTATCATTTTAAAAAATTTACAATGTAATGAATTTATTTCCGAATATATTTATTCATTTTTGATAATTTAAAAAGTCTCATACTTGCAAATTTCATACACCAAGAGATTTTGTAACTTTATATAGTTTATTAAAAATTATTTCATTTTATCTAAGTTAAAATTCTTAATATATAAGTTTATTACACGTTATTAAAAGATATTTTATTTAGTACATCTTTATGTCATGTAATACAAAAGTTAATTTGTATGTTTAATTTAAATAAGATACCAACTGTGTTCTCTTAGAATTATTTTAGTTGGAAGACACGCATAGGGTATTACATTATCAAATTTGTAATCATATGTTACGTTTAGTTCATAATACCTTCATGCATAATTTATATTGCATAATTGAAAAATTAATTTAATAAAGTTATTATTTTTGTATGCATTTACAATCTTATCTTATTTTCCTTAATCTTCCTTATCCTATTAACATAAAGAAGAAATACTTTCCATATCTTTTAAATATAGATTTTAAATATACATACATATAAAACGGTATTCATTAAAGTATGTATACCTATAGTTATGCGTTTTTCTTTTTATTCATTCATTTTTTAAGGATATATAATATACTACTACCTAGCGATTAAGAGTTCTTGCAATTATAGAGTACACAGTAATAAATTTACGGTAAAAGTACCTCAAGATTTATCTTTATCCTGAAAGAAATCCCTAAGAAGACGGAGATATCGCTCGTTTATCATTTCAATGAGAAAGGGCTGAGTGCTCTTTGCATCGAGGGCAGAATCGTGGAGTAATCCTCCAGGATTCTTAGTACCGTTTCGTAATCGGTGTTGCCGATGGTATTGCTCGGTCTTATGCAACGTACTAATCGACTGGTTTGATTGCTGCACTTGGCCACCCTGCTTCTCTCATGCACGCTGAAGGTTTCGTACGTGAACACGAGCAGCTTCTCCACGACGCACTCGAGCACTTTGTCGCTCGGCAACTCGCCACGGCCACTCTCGACGCAATCCTTGATCATGGTGTTCATCCAGTTCCAATCCTCCCACATGTCGAGTATTTCGACCTTTTGGTTCTCCAACTGCCATGTCAAACGAGCGCGATATCTGAAAGGAAAACGTGTTATATATGTCAGTAAATTTACAAAAAATTATTTATATAGTGAACGTTTTTCTTTTTTTTATTTAAAAGGATGATGCGTTTTTTTGATTAAAATAATTAAAGTTTGCAAATCTCAGTCAATGAGAAGAAAAATTTCATATTAGATTAATCAAAGTTAATAGTAAAATAGTTCAATTAGTTTCTTATTATATTGTTTTATCGATATTTCTTAATTTAACTTACGCCCATTTCCAGGGATTCTTGCTGAATTTTACTTTCTTCAGGTTACCCAGATAAGCGAACATGTTGTAGTCGGTAGAGTTAAGTTGGTTATAGTCGAAGTAAAAGTTCTCCAAATTACCGAGCATTGGAAAGATCATGTAGTCGATCCCCTGAATGAAGTTGAATGACAGATCCAGAGTCTGTAGAGAGTACATATTCACGAACCAATTTCCCGGCACGTACGTCAGTTTATTACCCCAAAGCATCAGTTTCTTCAACTTTGTGAGGCCTACGAATGCTTGAGCATCGCACGTTTGTATGCCCGATTCGTGCAGGTCTAAGGTCATGAGAGTCGCTCCGAATCTCGCGAAACTATGTCTTTGGCAGAATAGAGTAAAAAAAAAAATCGCAAATTAAAAATGTCGCAGACACGAGAAATTCGCATCAACGTAAAAGCGCGTGTAATGTAGTCGATGAAAAATGAATATTCAAAACGAAATTATTCAGAATAAACACGAATATTCCAAAGTATATACAAGCGTATACAGATTTTAAAAGGAAATGCTGAATATTCGTCGTAAAATAAATGAAGAAAAGATAGAAAACAAATTCTAAAATATATCGAAAAATAAATATCGGAGAAAAATCTACATAAATACGCGATAAAATCAAATGCATTAAGTACATTTTTTCTTACAATCTTCGAACAATTTCTTTTCTTTTCTTACCCGGGTATGTTAGGAATATTTGAATCAAAAATCACAATGGTCGTCGTATTGGTCCACGCTTCGTCCAAGTATTGTGGCAGCGTTGTTAATTTAGTGCATTGAAAACTAACATCATTCGTTTGTTTATACGAGACCTTCGCGCACGGTGACAATAAAGCCGCTTGGAAAAGCGTGTAAAGAAGATAAATTATTAACAAACGCTTCATCGTGATAAATCCATTCGCGCTGAAGTCATTGAATTAACTAAGCCCTCGAGACAGCGAGCGATGGATGAAACAAACGATGTGGGTAGCACATCCTCATGCGGCTTCTTCCTCTTGTCGATGATAACGCAAATCAGCATGTACATAATTGAATTGAAATTTCTATGCGTTTACTTTTATCGCCAGAAAAGCATCGGGATATCCTGAAAGAGAAAGGTCGCGCTCGCGGTTGATAGTAAAAACAACATTTATTGTCATACATATATACATGTCACAATTCTTGTTAAATACGGCTGTTCCTAGAGAGACGAATAAATTTAATTCAGTCAATTTCGAAAGACCAACGAATTCAGTCGGTTTTTTAATATGGACCCCTCATTAATTACTCTGTCAATGTATACACTTATCCATTAACCGCGCGATAATTACACGAATCAATCGGAACGACTCTTATAAGTCTTACGCTTAATAATGTCTACTATTTGAAAATATGTATAAAATGGTGATCTTTTTTCGAAACAAAAGAATGCTGCACGTCAATTTATCGCCTTATATTTGATAAAAAAAATTAATATTAGCAAATGCTGTATAGAATGTATAATTTTGTATGATGGTAGTTATAAGCGTGCGTTTTTAACAGCGTGATCTGCACCTACTTCTCAGATACCTTTTTCTGTGATTTCGTTTACTTGTTAAACGTAACTACATTTATTGTCATAAAAATGTCTTATTATTTACAGCAAAATACCGATGCTCTCGATATCTCCATCACATTTTTCTAACATCTGAACGAAAATATGGCAAATAAATGATTTGAATATCGATTACACGTAATTCCACTCTGTGTGTCTCTCATCAATCGGAATAATGGCAAATGATCCGATTTCGTTGCAAATGAACGATCTCGTCACGAAACGTCTTGCTCTTCGCTTCAGTCATAAATTAAAATTACCAGGACGATCACGATGAAACATAATTGCGGATCACGTAATGATTTAACGCCATTCTGGACGTCCAATCGTGTGGGCGCTGAATGCGCCGGAGCTGGTGCTGGCGGTGGAAACGCGGAGATTCTCGACTTGTTCGCGACATTCGGTAATGAGCTGGACAAATTTCGTCTTGACATCGGCGTGGTGTGGCCCACATTCTTTAGGGTCAAATCCGACTCCGTCTTGTCGAGCACGTATGAATATTTCTTTCCTTTCTTCTCCGTCTGCTTTCGCCAGATATGCTTTTCGATAAGCTCGGTATTTCCTGTGGAGGCTGTCGTTGGTTTGGATATCTGCAGCTCTGTAAATTCGAGTTCCGGGTAACAAAGGCGATTATCGGTATTGTCTAACAATTAAGAGGCTAGATGTCACATAAACGTTTTAAAGAGTTTCATAAATATAAAAAATGTTATATAAATTGTGGAATGCAATCTTTCTGTTCTTCATGCACTGAAAAGGGAGATCTTAATTTCAAAGAAATATTTCTTTAAAATTAAGTTTTTCCGCAGGATGCGTGTGCTCATATTTTCATTCTATAAAAATCGCAAGACGACGAAATAAAAATAAATACTTTCGACAGAATTTGATAAGGAGATTTAATGTGGAGATTTATAATATAATATTTAATTAATGAATTTGTTTACATCTGTACTAATAATTGTTACTGTACCTTGTAGTCTTATGGACCCTTCCGCTTTTCCGAAAGCGTTTTCAGCGGAGCACGTATAAGTGCCGAAATCAGATTTGTCAAGGCGTCTGACAGTGAGATTTAGTTGATATGCATAGTCGTTGATGATTATTTCTGATATATCGTGTTTCTCGCTCTCAAGTAGTTTGACTCCTAAAGTAAATATCTTCTCTTCAGAGATAATTATATCGAGAATATATACATTTATATTCTAAAACAGAATTCTTTTTCATTTCAAGCTTCTCCAGGGAACGGGAAAAAAGAAAAATAGTCATTTTTTATTAATATAAAAGAAATGCATATTTTTATCTTTTTGGTAAAATTAATAATTCAATGGAATGAATAATAAAATTGACGTGGCTATTGTCGCAGAGAGAATTGCTGAACTATCTAACTTTTTATCGAATTTTTATCAAATAGCTATCTAAAAATTTTTATAGTTTTTAATCTCGGTGAATAAAGTTAACGTAGATATAAT